ATTAATTATTATTCATAAATATAATCTATTCTCTTCGATGAAAAAGGGATAAAGATTTTAATTTTTTATTATGTAAAATCGATTTTTTGCGTTTTTCAATTAGGCGAATCGCGCTAAACCGCTAATTCGTATTATATCGGATGCGGATGCGACAACGCATGCTGCAAGCGGAAAAGATCCAAACGCACCGCCGAAGAAACCGACGCCGACTCTGACGATCACGATACCGTCGAACGAGGAAGAAATCAAAAGCTTGTCCTCTCCGGAATCGATCTCTCCTCTTCCGTCGAGCGCACAAGATTCCGGCGGAAGTTCACCGCAACGTCCGAGGATGCGGCAGGATATTTCGAGTCTGAGGGAATTTAAACGACAGGTTGGACGAGACTTGCACGAATCTTTAGCAATTACCGATTTACCGAACAATCTCATATTTTCACGCACACTCTCGTCACTCTCAAATACAGGCTAAATTATTATAATCGAAGGAAAACTGACCTCATGTAACATTCGCTAAAATTAAAACACATTTTTCCTCTTTGTCTTCAAAATTCTCATCCGTTGCTCGTACGGTATTTAAACAAACAAAATTTGAATTCCGCGGTTTGCAGATGCTTTCTCCTGCCAAACGGTTGTCACATACATGACATGCGGAATATGATATTTGCTTCCAGTATTCGACAATCGAGGAAGCGATAACGCCCGCGCCAAAGATACAGCGGCAAGACTCGAAATGGCACAAGGTCAGACGAGCCTTTCTGACAAACGCCACCTTCAGCGTTCCTCCAAGCCCAATTAGGATGATCGCGACGCAATCGTTCGCGAACGATGGTGAGAGTTTGGTGAAGCTTCCTAGAGAATGCGTCGCTAAAACAACGTCACATTTCTGTGAAATCTAAACTAACAATACTAATCGTATTAATTATGGAGAACTGATGTAAAGAATCTAATATTCTGTTTAATTAAACCTTTTATTAGAAACCCTGAGGGAATTTTCTTTTTCTCTTTTAGAAGTTCAATTTTAGAACTTTGTTTCTGTGTTCAGCAATTTTATTACTGACTTTACACTTACGTCATAAATCTTCATTTATGAGAAACATTTCGTACATGTATTCAGTCGCAAAACTCAATGCAAAGATAAACGGTTTTCTCACGCATTTATTTCTTGAAGTTCGATTAAACTTATAAAAACAGCAAAATGATTTTTCTGAATTATTCACAATTTTATTCACAATTTTAGAATTATCTTATTAGCTAAATAATTAATCAAAGATTATAATTAATTGACTTTTCCGTTTCAGTATTAGTTCTCTGTAATCAATATATTTAACCAACATATTTAAAATTTGTTTAACAGTTCGCGTATGCTATTGCTTCTCATGATTCTTGCTACTTGCTTAATCTTTTTAACTGGGTGATACACTTTTCCAGATATCTCAAAAATTCGGCAGTTTTCTTGATGTTTACCTCTATTGTTTCCCGCATCATCATCTCGTGTGTTCTTACAAACCTTTCATGAAACTTGGCAATCTCTTTGAAATTGCGATGCGCTTTCTTATTCATAAGATCGAGCATTTCCGCCACTTCGTCCGATTGTTCCTTCGTGCATTTCGCGAGATCAAAAGGAATATTATGCCTGCGACATGTAATAAGATAATTTTTCTCCGCGCTCTTGACACAGATCGACACGTCGCTTCGCAATTTCTTCAGCATAGATTCTATATGTTTCACATTCGCATCGATCGCTCGTTCTAAAGCGTCGAAAGATCGTTTTATCTCGTTGTTGAGTAGCAATGTTTCTTTTCGCATCCAGTTGCCATAAGAAACATCCAACTTGATCAATTCATCTAACCTTCCCGTTGTCTTCTTAATCAATTCTTCCAATTGATTTGTATGAGCAATTTTGCTATTGTCCAAATGAATTTTTATGTCTTTTGTAATCAATTGCGACTCATCTTCCACGAATCGTATTAGATCTTTAATACGAAATTTTAGATATTGTTGTGCTTTTAGATAATCGTCACTGGCTGTAGTTACTTTACACTAAAATTCGTTACAATTTATATTTTAATAATAAATCATAATACAAGATGTATGTTCGATATTTGGAGAAAAGTTTTAAATTAGCACGAATTTATCTTTACAAAGCAATTTTTATAAAATAAATCAAATCTATATTTTTTGTTAATCTAATACTCGGTTTCTTAAATTTTGAATTAAATATTGATAACTTAAATATTGATTAAATTTTTCTCAATAAAAATATTTCAGATATATCGTTAAATGATTTACATTGTATACGACATAAAATTTTTAAAATTTACATTTAACCTATCTGTCAAAAATTGAAAAACGTTTAATTGGAATGAAACAAAATTAAATAACATTCTTAATTACTTTAGGCTTAGATTTTGAAAATAACTTTTTACAATAGAATTGTATGAATGGTGATTTGGGACATTGTTTCAATTTTTTTTTATATTCTTCGGAAGTTAAACGAATCTTGTTTTCTGGCCCATCGATGAACTTGTTAATTTGTGACACTTTCTTACTGAAGCGAAGAATAAATAATGAATTTTTCGTGACATTATTCAAAATTTGACAACCTACTTGAAAATTTTTTGGCAACATGCCATTCGCACGTGTGTTACATGTTGCTTGTCAAGACAAAATAAAAATAATGAATGTACATACGTGCCAAACAAAAGATATCGATTAAAAAAAAAATTAAAGTTTAATGCAAAAACATACGATTAAACGTTAAAAATATGATAAAAGATTTTCGAGAATATTAATATTTTTATGAATACGTAATTCATGCTTATCGCCTAATAAATATCTGTCATCAAACTTCTATAAGCTCTACCATTTCTAATTTTAAGCTTCGCTTGAAAAATATTTCTAATTTTAAGCTTCGCTTGAAAAATACGACTAATCTATCCGAAAAGATCGCGACGATCTCTTAAGAAGTCTTCCCCTGCCAGTTTCTCACGCGCTTCTCATCGCATAAAATGTATTCGTTGTAAACGCAGATACGCGCCGAGCTCGCAGCTGTAGCGAAAGCATCGAGGATCTCGGTAAAACCGTTGCAGGTACCAACAACGGCCACTATCGGGAGGCGCGCAGGGATTATCAGGCGTTACGGGAGAAATTTGGAGCCGAGTTCCATCGGAAGCTGATCGAATGGGAGCGCCTGAAAGGTTCGCAGAATGCTCGCAACGGTCTACCGCTGAACGAAGAACGGCTCACGCCCGAGTTTAGGAAGAAATTGCAGGATTGGAAACGAGCGAAAAAGGGTCGTCGATCTGGAGGGGTCATCCAGCAGCAGCGCGTTAGCCGTCGACGGTTGACCGACTGGCAGCTCTGGCGTTCCTCTTCGAAACCTGAGCCCAGGTGTTACGGCGTACGTTGATCTCGCGAGCAATCGCGTGAAAAATAACAAGTATCTCGAAAACAGAGAGAGAGAGAGAGAGAGAGAGAGAGCTGCCAAGTTAAACTTAATTAACTTGTAATTTTGAAAAATTTAGAAAGATATACTTTTTAAATCGCGAAGACTTTATTCTCCGTTACGATGATCTTTTAATGAAGATCCAAGATCTTTGGGGACTATTTCTAATCGAAAATTTGACTCAAAGAATCTTTCATATCACAATTAAAGAGATATTTTCTTTTTTTTTCTAATGCGCACTTTTTTGAACGTTTTTATAATATTTTTTTGTATGATAGAAAAATCAGAGTTCGATCGGCTCGCGCGGAAGCTGCGCGAGTATCGGCAGCGCGGGAAGTTTTGGTAGCGATGGAAAACAGCATCTTTGCGAGGATTTTATCAAGAGAATGGAGGCGTGGAGAAGAATGAGCGAGACCGCGTGTCGAGGCGGCGAGAGACCGAAATCACCGACGACGAACCGTGTTACGTCCAACATCGATGAAACGGAATTCCTTTCTTTGGAAAAACTGCTGTTATTGTTTGGGCAGAAGACCAGAAAAGAACTTCGAGAGAGCGACGCGAGGCAACTGAACGATTGCTTCGATGGCGACGCAAGGTATAAAAATTCAATGCAAGAAATATTGTTTAATTAAAATAATTTAAATATAATTTTTAGGTTTTATAAAACAATATATTATTCTATATAATTCGCGATGCTATGTGCTAGAAGAAGCAATTTCTGATTCGTGCTTAACTTAGATTTCTCATTTGCTGGTTTTAAATTTGCACTTATTTTTATCTTTTAAAAAGCTATGGCTGAAACGCAACTTCGTCAGAGGAAAAGATTGCTTCTTCTACTGTGAATTCCACAGTATACATTTATAATTTTTTCACTATAGTACCTTTAATGCTCGATTCCATCAACGTAGATTTACTTTAATCTCGGTTTAACTTGCTCTTCATCTTTTTCTAATTCTTAGAACTACTCTTAAAATTACTTAATCTATCGTTGGTGGAATCGGAATTATTACTAAAGTAGGAATCTGATCGCAACAAATTATTAAACTTTTCGATTGATTCAAGATTTATGGCTGCATCTCGAAGCGTAAATTGTGGCAATGAAATATTGATTCGTACGTCCGTCGGATCTTACCGTTTCGAGGGTATATCTCGAGAATTTACGAGAAAGCTATATGATTGGGAGAAATACCGTGGGATATCACCGAGATCGTCCACATTCCGTCTTTTGGGACCAGGATACACGCCTTTTGCCCAAGATTCGGATGAAGTTACATTGGCAGAGACATCAAGTACGACAGGTAAGATTAAATAATTCTGAGAAACTTGATTCTGAAAGATATTAAAATATTATTATTCTGCAATAGGCAAGAATCGTGCATTCCACTGGACCCTGAAGAGATCCAAGTCCGATGGCAGCGTCTTCGAAGGCAGCCTTCGTGACGAATCGTTCACATTACGTCGTTCCGCGAGTCTTCAATCTCTCACTTCTACAGGCAAGCTCGAAGATGATACTCGAATGGATGTCTTACCAGTCTCCAGTAAGCACACCATTTTATTAACAATCTTCCCAGAACATTTTGTAACATTCTCGAACAAGCTTGCATTGATTACAGTCTAATTTATGGAAGTAATGTATCCTTAATTATTTTTCATTATAGATTTAGAATACAATATATTTGATTTATAATATGTTTGATATATAATATATTTGACTTTTCGTTATTTATATTTGTCAAAATAATACTATCGTATTTAATTTTTTATTAGTTATTAATAATTGTTTATTACATTTATTTGTCACAGATGACTCACAGGGGATCAAGGATCCTTCGGAGGATATGGCAGTGGAGGATTCTGAGCCAGAGGCGATGATCGTCGATATAGAGGATGTTATCGAGGAGACTGCCAGTCCTTTGGCAGGAGTACAACCCCATCAAACGCCGGTGTACTCCGTCGCGGCCAGCGAAACCACTAGCATCGCCGTTCCTCTCGGTACAGTCACTTCGAGTCACGAGCCTTCGCCAGTGTTCCTGATCAAAATCGAGGAAGATGAAGAAGATTGCGAACGATGGAATGACGGAAAGATCGGCCCGGAAGCTTCCTTGAGCGAAAACAGTCCGAGTCCAGAATACTTCCCGGTATCTGAAGATTGCGGTGAAAGAACGATATCTTTGGACGAAGAAAAACAGAGCTGGGAGCCGAGTTGCTGCAAGGAAGACGATGACTCCGCGGGATGGATCGAGAAAACACGATGTTCAATTCCGAATTCCAACGATTCTGTAAAGTCCGACCATTCGGTGGGGTGGAATCAGGATACTTGGAACGAGTCAAGCGATGAAGCAAATAGGTAAACTCTATAAATCTCTAAAAAGCCATCAGTTTTTCACAATTGTAAAAAATTAGTAACGTTTTCAGAGATTCGATAGGGCTCGAATTGTCTCCTACGACAATCTGCGAAAGTGAAAACAATATAAGGAAACAAGATATTCTCGGTAAGATATTTGAAATATATATTCCTTGTTTAATTACAAGATTAGAATTTTTAATCTATTGAAAATATTTCTTAAATATATTATAAATATAATTATAAATTTATTAAAAATACTTTTATTTAGGATTTTTAATTTTATTTCTTTCGTCCTGAAATATTTTTCAAATTTATCAATTTTCTTTAAAGCGTGCGTCTTAGAAAAGATGACATTTAAGAACATGACATTTATTTCAGGAAGCGACAACGTTGGATTGATACACATTGCGGAGAGTTTCGAAACTTCATCGGTGGCTTGGAACGCAGAGGAATCGATGGTACATTCATAATTAAAATTCAATCTTTCTTTAATCTTATCTTAATGTATTAATTTCGCACATTGCCGTGCATCTAACTTCGATATTTTTTAAGCCACGAGAAGACGTAATAAAAAAATTATCGCTCGTCAGATTCGCATGACACTCGAGTCACTGACTCGAGTTGACTTGAGTTGAGGCTCAAACTTTTTGGAAAAGTAAGTTTTATCATAGCACAATTGAAATTAGCGTCCTGTCGGTACAACCAGGACCCATCGCGCACGTGTGAGGGGATGAGCGAGATGCGTAAGGAGGAGATCGAGGATCTACCAGATGAAACATCGAACAACGAGCGAACGAGCGACACGAAAAACCACCAAGATGACAAAGGCGATGGGAAAGCCAAGCAAGGGAAGATAATTCTCAGCGCAGATTTTTGCACTTACCAATTAGCAACAGCGTCATCGTCATCGGATTCCAAGGAAACTTCATCGAAATTATCGAATTCAAATTCGAGTAAGTTCATATTCTCCTTTAACGTTATACATTTTAATTAATTTATTTTTACTTTAATTTTCGTTACTTTATACCTTTTTTCTTATACAAGAAGAGAATCTTGTTATGAAAATTCTTCTCTTGCAGATGATAACAAAGATATATTGGAATACTGCGACGTTGATAGCGAGAACGAAGCACATTATGAAAGTTGCGAGTCACCCGAGTTGCAGACCGATCGACATTACGAAATTCTCACGTTTAAAAACGACACATGCAACGATGCGACAGATAGCGGCTTGTACGAGCCGATCGGATGTCACGAAATTCGTAGTTCCTTTTATGACGACAGAGGCAACAGCGTAAAAGTTTCTTCGTCATCAGGATTACCAGAAATGAAGAGACCACATCTCCTAGAGACTCCGAGAGGTCCTTTAACCAATTCAATCGTTCAGACCATCCCGATAACCGTCTCCAGAGACAACAGAGCGCACTGCTTGGAAAAAATATTGATCAATGAGGAGACATTGAATAAAATAATTGTTTCTACGATGAGTGCAAAAAATGGAACGAAATCTGCGGAAAGAATTCAAGATCGTTTCGTAAACTTGAACCGTTTGGACGAGACAGCGGCCATCAATAATCACGCATCTACAAAAATAATTCGCGATTCCCAAATCGAAAATATTAAGAAAGATGGCTCTACTTCTAGAAACGTCTTTGTGAAGACGAAGCGTATGATCTTCGGTCCGTTTCGTCGATCGGAAGAGCAACCATCCTCGAGAAAGCAAAGCGACGGTTCCGTCGATGGCCGACTTGCACGTTCATCAAAATCTAAGAGTAAGTCGCGATCAGCATCACCGAAATTATGTCGACAGGACGCTTTGCTGCGTGTGTCATTGTCATTACCGTGGCCTCTGCGTTCCACGTCGAAGGACAGCGAAATTCCCTCCGAAACCGAGTCTAGGAGAAGCTCGGGAAGTAAGATAGAAAATGCAACAACGATACGGGAGAAAATTTCACTTTGCAAAGAGAGCAACGTAGATAATAGAAAGCTAAGCGAACAATCAATTAACGAAGAATTACCATTTATTGATGTAGACCAGGAAAAAGTTTGTCGATCGGACGCAAAGTTTATAAGTGCATACTCGACAATTTCCGTGGAAATTTCTGAACAATCGGAGAAATCAAAGATGACCACGCTCGAGCGGGATGAAATGTGGAATGAGTTTAGATGCAACAAGACTCAGAACAATGGAGAATGCAAGTTCAAGTTCAAGTGTGCGCCAAGTCGAGTACAATTTGAAGAAAAACTGGCTAAGGAAAACTGCAGCCAGAAACAAGACGAAGGATGGCAAGAGGAGATGAAATTCAATCGGAAACAGGACGAGGCAAAATCGGACAAAAGTCACACGAGGAGCGATATGGTGCCATCGGATTTAATTCATAAGCTTAAGATACTTTCGGACGCTGCAGCGAGAAGGGAAGGACGAGTGACAACAACGGAATCTTCTATAATCAGCAGTTCGGAATCGCGTTCATCTAAGATACGACGTGCCAAAGAGAGTTTCCTATCGCGAAGGGGTGGTCCTTTCTGTCGCTCTATGACGGAACCGTCGGAAGCGGCCGTCAACCCCGATCCTTGGGGACGAACATCGACGGCTCGGACGACATCGAGAAGAGAATTGACGGGATCAAGTGACGTCGCGGTTGTTGTTTCGAAGTCGGAAGAACCGACAGCTGCGAGAAATGAAACGGAAACAGCGATGTCGAGCGCGCAGAACGACATCGCTTCTTCGGAAGAGGACAAGATCGATTCGTATCAGATGAGAGATCAAGCGATCGACGTTCGATCGGAGTCATTAGTGAAATCGGCAAGCGCTGGCATGATCAACGTGGATCCTGACACATTCGATCGGCTGGTTACGACCGATCGTGGATGCGAATCTCTGCCGAGGGCGATTACAAAACGCCGCGACTCCTCAAGTCCGTTGGCCAAAATTGTCGGTAAACTGAAGCTTTCACGATTGATTCGCGCCAAGAATGTCGACGGCGGTAATATGAGCACGATCTCGACGTTGTGCAGGCAGAGTTTGTTGATCGACATGCGAAACAATCCCAGAGATCAACGAAGTAACGAGCAGAAGGCTGGGAATGATCCGATCAATGCTGTGAGAGATAACGATGACGATCATTCGGATGAATCTTCTAAAATAATTCATGAATGAATCTTTTTTTTTAATTGATATGATTTATATAATATTCCAGGGGTCTGTGAATTTTTTTAAATCTATCCATTCTGGATTTTAATAACGAGAAAATTTTGGTCTTCGGTAAAAAAATAGAACAGCCTATATGCAAATTAAAAAATAGCATGTAATTATATATCTTAAGAGCTATATTTGTTTCAAATATTATTTAAATGATAGAAAGAATAATACGTTAAGCTTTATGAGGAATGCGTATTAGGATCGATGTTAATTAATTTTTGCAAAGCTGAAATGCAAACAGCGTACATTATCTACAACGATGATGTACGCTAAGTTTGTGCTCTTATTTCATCTATTCTTTCATCAATTGGATATATTAATGTTTAATTAATTTATTTAGTAACAAGAATGTTGATGCATTAATAACGTGACAATATGAATAATTGAAAGAAAACGTTTTTCACAAATTAAGCTGTTAAACAAATAACAATATTCAAGTTTTATATTCGTAGCATATAACAAAACTTTAATTATTCTATAATCTTTCTATAACAAAACTTTAATTATGAAAATTAAAATAAAGGGAGAACATAAGAGGAAATTAATCTAATTTTAATTTAGCATAGTTACAGTATTTCTTATCTTATGAGTGGAACTTTATATTCGAGAGAATCGCGACTTTGATCATTATTTATCAAGTTACGCAAAGTACGTAGTTTTTTTTAAACAACGCTTACGCAAATATCCTGTGTCCCTCCTCACGTGCAACGAGTAGCAAACACAATGAGATGACGGTTACGAGTCCGATCGGTGTTTGATTAAACGGGATTAATGTCCCCGGGGCGATCTCGAGTGGCGAGAACGGAGAGTGAACGGAGACGGGCGCGTGTCGCGAACGCGTGCCTCCCCGAAGTCGCCACGGCTCGATTCTCCATCATCCCTTCGCCATCCCACGTGCGTCGTGATCCCACTCCGGTCGATCGACCCTTCCGCTGCTGCCCACGACGGAAGCCCTTTCCACGTGGAAACGAGAGAGGATCGAACCGTCGAACCGTCGCTCGATCGCATTAAGCGGATTTCATTTGGCCTCCAAACGAAATCGTGCAAACAAACCGCTTCACCGACGTCAGCAACTCGTTTTTTGGCGCGCGTATTGCACAAAGCGTAACGAGACGACGTGAGTGCCATGGGAAGGATGTTGATCTCTCCGACGAATCGGCATCCCTTGGGACACCAGGGATGCAAGCTCGCGTTTACGTTCTACTGAGTTTTAATTTTCCTGCCATTTATACGTATTTTGTAAACAAAAAGTTTAACTTTCTTCCCGAGCAAAGAAGAATACTTATTACCGCACGTGGTAATGTAAGTCTATTTAAAGCTGAAACAACAATATTGTGAAGAATAACATTGTAATCATAAATATTAATTAAAAGGAAATTTACAAAGCGATTCCGAAAAGAGCTAGCTGAAAGACAGATTTATATAAATATTTCTTTAAGAGCAATAGGATGATACATTGCCCGCATTTCGTTCTTCCATACTTGCAGATAATCGAAAGTCGAGGACATTAAAGAGGACCACGAGATATTGTATCTTTTTAGGGTGGGACCGAGTACACACCGGCGTTGGGAAAAATGATCGCAGGTACAGGATCCTTCGCCGATTTACGATTCGAGACGCGCGAGCGCAGGATCATTGACGCGCGGCACAATGGGCGGTCGTGTTGCTCGTTGCCTTCTCCAGGATCGAGCTCTGTCTGTCTACCTGCGTCCTCTATAATCCGGAAGCGTTCGCGGGGGCACGCACACGGGCAGGCACGTTGTAACATCGGAGAGATATTATATCGTGGGATCGCGCGCGATGCAATTTCGTATAATTTCTTGTACGAAAAAGAGATCGCTCCCGACCGTCTTGGCCTTTCTTCTTAAACAATACGCGCGATCGATTTCCGTCGGACCACCCGGACGGATTCCCCATACGACGATCTCAAAGCCCGTTCCCGTTTACCCAACGAACGACGAGGAATTAGGCTTTCGTATTCGGTGTTGTTAACTTTCTATGGCGTTTATATTTATTCGCGGCGTAACTGATTCTTCACCGATCGAGAGTCAACTCCGTCACGCTTATATGCGCCTCTCCACTTCTGCCTTACAAAATGGAAATATTTTCCCTGAGAACAACACGACACGAGAGAATTCATTGAATGTATTATACAGCAGACTTGAGCTTGAACGAGCGAACACAGAAGGCACGTTGGTCGCGACTTGGTCGCGCGAGCGAATGGCGGAAAGACGTCGTCGGCGAGCAGCGGCTGATTTATGTCCACCGCAGTCGGCACTCTGAGTAATTCCGCTGCAACGGGTGCATAAGGTAGACATATACGCTGTTTATATCTTCTCTCACGTGGCTGAATTTCATTCCGTCACGCGTCTCGATGTTTCTCAGTTCCAACGAGATCGATTAAAAATGTAAAAATATTTATAAACCCGATTTTTCAAAGTTGGAAACTGCTATAAAATATTACAAGAATGGTTAACTTCATTTTTAATTATTATCCATTTAAAATATTAATCTAGAAAAGTTTTGACGTGTAATATCTAATAAAATCTATTTTTTTTATCGTGATCTTTGCGTTGAATTGATCTCGAAATTACATTTCGAGATTTTACCAATGTTAAATAAGTTTAAGCTGTTTTATCCAAATTATTAGAGCTGTAACAAATACAAATCCTTACAGCTTTCCGTAAAGATGATAAAAAGCTTAGAGCCTTACTTGTGAAGATTTTAATTAATAAATACCAGCGTGACTTGAAAAGCAATTCCACGCCGTCCAAACGCAACGAAACGCGCATTACCGCCGCGTATTTCGCCGCGATCCTCCGATTCCGGTCATTTAGGCATCTCATCCATAAATTACTATTCAGTCTGTCCGGCTGTCCTCGCGAAGAAGAGGGGTAAGGAACGGGGTAAACGACGAGGAGGAGACACAGGTGCTGCGGAGACGCAAACGCGGTGGCTGCCGAATGCGTGGCCACTTGCCGACAAATTTCGACCGGACGATCGTCGTTATCGCTCGATCCGGTCGCGAGATCCCGCGCTATCCCGACGCTTAATCCCCGCCGCATCGGTCCCGATCCCGATCCCGAGGACCGAGATATTCGGCTGCATATTCGGCCGCGCGCGTTAGACCGTCTCTCAAATAAAGCAATCTCCAAGATCAGACAACGGCGCGGTTGCGTTTGTGTCCCCTCATCCGCCCCCTCCCCTTCCTTTGCGCAGCCTCTTCCCGCTCGATCGCGAAAGTAGCCACTGGCCGCTGGTCGCAGCCGAACTCCCCTTTGTCAGAAAACGGAGTCTGCTGACAGAGCGAAGGTGGTAGTCGACTCCGGAGAATTAATCGCCTCGGGGAATATTTACGTTCTCTCGTCGAAAAGTGCCTGTCTCCATCTCTCTTTTTTTCTCCCCCTTGGGTCCTTTGGTATTCCTCTTTCCGCTCGTGGAGATCCTCGCGGTTAGATGCGACTACGAATCGGCGCTTTGCGATGACTACTTACGGTGTTTGATCTTATCGCGAGAGAGACTGCAGCGGGGGTAGAAAAAAATTAATGCCACGCGACGAAGCG